GGCCACATCATTAATAAGTACAAGGCGAAGATTAGGAATTCATCTGCTGCGGTTGTCTTTATAAGGCAATTTGGCTCAAATGAAGAGCATAAGGCGACAAGAAGGCGAGACACCTTCAATTCCTTATCTTCCAAGCAAGCTAGTTACCTTAAGCATTCTAATTTCCAAAAAGAAAATTTTATCAATAAACTAATATAAAAATAAGAGTAATGATTTACTTTTTTTTTTGATGGGGTGGGGGTAACTATTTCATTAATACCTCTAAAAAAGCTGTGATGTGCAGAAAACTTATGCTTCATTAAGTACAACATTTTAGTATAAAATTTTTAATTTTTTACTTAAAAATCTGCTTAAAAAAGCAGCAATAAAGTCATCCCAAACGAAATCTTAATTGATGATAATGAATAAAAGTTTATAATGACCATAGTTTACCATTATATAAGGATCATAGTTTACATAAATGTTTATAATAAGATTTATAGTGACCATAATTTACCATTATAGAATTTGTGTAAAATTGAAATCCATTCGCATTAAACACAATTACAGCTCATATAAATGCATCCTTATATCTTGAACATTAAAAAAAAAATTACATTACATTAATACATTCAAAGAATTATTTTCTGTGTCTGATCCTTTGCGCAAAGCTTCAGCTAGCTGGAGTTTCTGCCACTGAGCCAGGCGGGCACGGGAGAGAGAGAACTGAATCCTCCCAAGCCCCCATTAATGCAATTTCCCTCCTTTCCTTTGGAAATTTCTAATCAGATCGAACAAAATAGAAAAACAAAGATAAATCAATCAATTATTCTAGCTATATAATTATCAAGCATTTAATTAAGAAGTTGAAAGAACTCACAAGGCCATACTTAGCTTCAAGTATCGGCTTCACTCTTTCTTTATTCTTTTTAATAACCTTCCCAAACTCTAAGTAGCTCGTTACATCATATGAAGACCTCATCGTTCGGCTGGTCTCAATCTCTCTATAGAACTGCATGCATGCACGAACGTGTTATAAATATAATTAATCCTTTCAAGATTATCTTGTAAATGAAATACTAAGAGTTATGCACTTCAATGCACGTACGCACCCAATTTATTAATGCATGCAGACGAAAATAATGAGCAGCTTGTAGCATAAATATGATGGTATGTATAATTAACTGTAATTTTTTTGTTATGAAATAAAATAAAATTTTAAAATATTATGATCGGTATTATAAAATTTTTCTTATGATTATGACATTCTAGAATATTAATTTGGAAAATTTATTTTTTATGATTTTTTTAAAACATTAAAAAATGTTATAATCAAATAGAAGTTTAGCAAAACAAAGATGTATAAAATAAAGCAAGGAAAAAATAAAAAAGACATGAGGCAGCATATATTTGGTATTTGGACAAAAAAGTTGAACGATTTTTTTTCCTTTTTCAAATTTTACTTCTAAAAAAGCAGTTAAAATTCCATGTGAGGTGACTTCTGTTATTTGCCAAAATAGCTGCAGAATTATTATGAGTAAATAAATTTTTTCAATTTATTATTATTATTTTAATCCAAACTATTTTCTTATATATATATATATATATCTTTTGGCCGCTTACTGTGTCTTTTTGGCCTGAAGATCTACGCTTAGTTATTCTTTCCCAGCCATGAGGCAACCAGTCCAAATTTGAAATAGGTCTTCCTCTCTTTTGGGCCTGTTCGGTGCTTTCAAGCTGCTTATCATCACTGCTATCACTATTTCTCTTTCTCTTCTTCGACCCTGAGATCCGACCCACTACAGTTTCTTTTCCGACCCCCTACAGTTTCTTTCTGCTTCAGCTGATCATCTTTCATCAAAAGATTAAACCAGCTTGAAGCTAAGAACCTCTCTACTTTAGACTTGGGTGATAAGGGCTCTGAAGAGGAGGATGCCATTAAGAGAGAGAGAGAGAGAGAGAGAGAGAGAGAGAGAGAGAGAGTTTATATATAGATAGTGGGAAATAATGAGGGAATGGATCAAGCCATGCAAGTGTATTTTTGGAACAATTAGAGTATTAAGGTATGCATTTATGATTTAGTTTAGAAATGTATCGATATATTAGGCTTAATTGCTATGGGGAGTGGATTCTGTCTATATATTTAAGTTACAAAAGTGGATTGTGCAGTCCCCTACATGGAAAAAAGGGAAATTATGCTTTATTTTTATATAGAAATTGCTGTTTATGAGAAAGATTGATGACCTTTACAAAGTTTGAAATATATGCTTTGGGAAAGATATTATGATCAAAGTTTGATCATAAATTTACTTTGAGATAATTATAATATATGAATTTAATCATAATTTATATTACATTTATAATAGTTTTGAAATTCATTCAGTTAAACAATTTGATCTCAATAGTCCGCTGTTTCTTTTCCAACATGAATTTAATTGCTAGTAATGCTGAAATTAAGGCGATAAAAAATTTGTCCTTAATGAAGCCTAGGTCAACTCATGGCGAGCAAGCTCAAGTTCAACTTAATAAATGGTTCAGTCAAACTCAAAGAGCTAAGAAATCAATTTTGAGTCATTATTGATATGACTCAAATCTTGATGCATATTTGAATTGGGAACTTCCAAAGTTAAATTCAGAATCACATACAAACTCCAATTGCGACAAATTTATAGTCAAGTTGAATGTCTTGACAAGAGAAATCCAAGGACACCAAAATTTGTCCAATCAAAGCCAAAATGGGCTCAAATCAAAGGCTTTAAGTATATTTAGAAGATTTAGACCATTAATTGGATGGTCAAATAATGTTCAAATATAGCATATTTATAGTCAAATCGAGCGGTTCGATGAGATATATCCAACAAGCCCAATATCACTTTATTCTAACCTAGCTCGTTAATGTAATTAAATATTGAATGAATGTTTTATGATTGAAGGAACCAATACAAGCACTCTGAATTTGTCATGTATCTTCTCTATATTTGCAAATCATGTTACTCTCAAAATCTATAAATAGACCCCACACCCAACATAAGGGGACATTTTGGCTAGAGATTACAGAGAGCCTCGAGGTTTCAAGGATTTTATAGCCCCAGCCAAGCACCATCGCAGGCGAACTTCTGTCGTCTAGTCGCTATCGAACCTCCTTTAGTCCACTCAAGCGTCGTCGAACCTCAACCTAGAACCGACCGCTGTCAGACCTTTGCCTGGTCGCCGACAGCCTCCACCGAACCACCGCCATGCAAACGATCACCCGCAAACCTTCGCTCAGCCACCAACTACAGTCAAACGTCTTTCTGGTCACCCACAACCACTGGACATCTGCTTGGCCGCTGACCACCGTCGGACTCTCCGCTTGGCGACTAACTACCACGGGACCTTGCCTTTAGCCACTAATCGACACCGGACCTCCACCCGATCCCCCTGATGTTGACCTATGCCAAACCTTCTCTCAATAGTTGCTATCAAACTTTTGACCTTCATCATTCGACCATGATCATTATAAACTCCTGAGTACCCATGCGAAGCTCGGTCGACTCTCTAAACTATTGCAATTTCACCATCTCCAAACTTAAGGAAAGGGTCAACCTTTACAACTCACTCAAGTATAGGGAAATCTCTAGCTTCTCCTAGGTAAGGTCTAGTTTTATCTTTTTATGGGGTTTTCATGTAATTTTTTTTTCTAGTGTTCCCTTACTCTCTCAACTATCCCTTTGTGTGTTGGACATTCGAGCATCGTTAAAAAGAAAAAACTCTCTCCCTCTACTGTCACTAATTTATCACTCACAGCAATTCTCGACTAGACTAAACTTATTAGCTCGTGAGTTGTTACTTTTAAAAACAATATTAATATAAAATTAAAGATTTAAGTATAAAATTATTACAATATTTAAACTTTATTTTTTTCCAACTAATTTATTTTCATTTCTCCCATAATACTTATTATTTTTATCATTTCATTATAACAACTACTTCAAATTTAAGATCTTCTTTCTTTCATAATATAGAAGTTGGTTGAATGAGCCGATTTTAACTCATAAAATTTCTATTGAAATTAACTAATTAGTCGTATATGCTCAATCAATCCAGGTGCTGGATTAGTTATTCCCAACTAGTTTGTGGATGTGCCTGTGAAATTAATTGAGACAAATGCTTTGGTTTATAATATGGGTGATAATTCTGGGGTGGATTTGCGTCTTCACCTCGATTGGCTTCATTGTTCATCGGATGCTGAATCTGATTCCTCTTCGGATCATGGTGGTGGTTCGGACCCTGGACATGACTTCAAAATTGTTCGTGATCGTCCGGTTTGTGCCGTTTCTCGTGGTAGACCCCGTGGAAGGGGTAGACGGGGTCGTTAGTTTATTTGGCTCTGTGCTCTGTGATTGGTTTATTTCAAGCTGATTCGTCCGAATTTTTTGGTTGGTTATGGTTGTGACAGGCGATGATGTGGCCGGGGCTCGCTCCTTGATGTTATGTATCCTGGCAACCTTTGGTGCTTATTTTTGATGTCTTCTGCTCGGTTGTTATCGTAACGTTCATCACCAAATTGGAAGGTCGGTACGTGGCTTCGGGGGGCTGGAAGCCTCGGCCAATTACTGAGCCTACTTTTTCTGATTCATTGTATTTTCTTTTATTGTTTTTTTCTTTTTTTGATTTCAGACTCTTGTAACATCTTTGAATTTTTTTTGTTAAATCATGATAAACTATTTATTAATATATTTCAGGATTTATGACAATTAGGAATTTAAATGTGAAAAAGATAAATAAAATACAAATAAATTTATAATTAAAATTAAAAATTAACGTGTTATGAATTTAATAAGTACACACATTAATTATTATTTATATTATTAATAATATATATTTTAAGTAATATTTAATATTTAATTACTAATTATTCTATTAATTTATGCACTAATTATAATATTAATTATTTAATTAATTTACTTAATTATTAATATTTTAAATTATATTAATTAAGTTAATAAAAAATAAGTTAGATGCCTCTAGGTTTGTCTTTCATCTTCCCTTTTCGTCGTTGCTGTTCGGCTTCGTTGCTTCGCGCGCAGGAGGTCTAGAGATTGCACGAGTCGCTTCTTCGGCTCCTTCGTGGCTGTTCGACTTCGCTCCTTTGACGACTTTCCCTTCCTGTCGGATAGGAAGTTACGACATTTTGATCGGAAGCAACAACGGGAGCTCGCTGGCTGTGAAGGTAACTTTCTCCCTTTCGCGCGCTTCATCGGCCAAATCCCATAAATCCGGCGAACCGAGGGATTTAGTAAATCTGGCATTTAAGCCGTAAATCCTTAAATCCGGGATTTACCCATCGCCGGGATTTAGCGCGCGCACAAAAACCGTTTGGCTGGGTTTAGCTTAAATCTGACTTAAATCCCGCTGTAAATCCGATACCAAACAGCCCCTTAATCGCTCCATTTCTAATATCTTCCCTCTGTTCCCAAACTCCTTCCGGCGGCTCTACTATCCATGCCCTACTTTTCCGCACGCGCGTCCCTCCTCCCCGCAACGCCAAGCTCGCACTCCGGAACTCCGGCCAACCTCTCGATCTTCTTCATTTGGCCAGCCTCTCTTCTCCAGCCGCTGTAATGTCGCTGCCTCCGGTTCCCTAGCTCGCGTGAATAGCAGCTTCGATCAAGGTACTGTGTGTCTATTTATTTTTGGTTTGTTCATTACTAACAATATTGAATGCACATCTCTGTATAATGAATTCATGCGTTGTTTAAGAAAGGACGTATATTCGCAATGACCCAATGCCTATTAGAACTCTATCATCGATAACTTAACATAGTTTCGAATGATTAAAAATTGTAGGAATAAATTTCAAATAATAGCCAATAATTAGAAATGGTAGTTTATGACTTTATGGTATATGTGTTACAAGATTTTTATTTTCTTTTTATTTTTGGTTTGTTCTTTACTAACAATATTGAATGGACATCTGTGTATAATGAATTCATGCGTTGTTTAAGAAAGGACGTATATTCGCAATGACATTTTTTCCAAACATGAAGGCAAACTACATTTGATCTAAGATAGCAAAGGTCATCAATATGATTATGCTTGGCAAAAATTTCCCCTAATGTGTAGGCAGATTACATTTGATATAACATACCAAAGTGTATCAATATGATTCTTGGAATAGAAGAAGCCATGCAAAAGGTTTTTATGGTAATAACCCAAATTCTTAATTATCGTGATATTGTCTATTTTGACTTAGTGTCCTCATGATTTTATTCCATTGTTATAACTTCTTAGTAGGTCATCCATCCCAGTAGTGCTCCTATAGGTCAACCAATACACCAAAGAAACCTAGATGTTTAAAAAACTAATTTATTTTTCTAAGGAATTTCACACCCACCATGAAAAATGCTTAAGGATTGCAGCTCAACATGGACAACTAGCAACAACAGGAGATCTCGATGGTTGAACTACCTTTTTTTTCTCTCCACTTAAATTAATTCTTACCCTTTCGTTTATGTACTTCCGTACTTATTTCTAACTATGGACATGTATATGAGTATACCAAAGATCTATCATATAAATTTTACTCTAGGGTGGAGGGAAAGGCAGCATGCTTAATTTACTCGGTTTCTCTAATTATTTCTTTTTATTTTTAATTTAAATTTGTGTGTGTGTGTACACTATAATTCAACAACGATGACCAGAGAATAATTTCTCTCAAAAAATTATGTTTTGTTCATGGCATCATAGCTAAATTCTGGGTAACCTCAAAATCCATTATGATCAAGATGTTCCATGTATGTAGGGCTGATGGCTAAGTGAAAATACTTCCATTAAAATCGTTTAGGGGTACAAATGAGTTGAGTCAAGCTTGAATTTTGCCTAACTCAAGCCAACAAAATTGTTTGCTCAAACTCAAGCTTGATCTCAAGTGAGTTTAAACTGTATCTTGATTTGTCGCAATAATGATATTGCTTGCGAGGTTTCGCATGAGCTCTAGCGAGAGAAGAAGATGTATCCCTAAGAGCTCAGCAGAGACGGCATGGATGTGATTAACAGCTGGAGAAGAATTCACTGCAAGAGTTCACCAGAGATGGCTTCGATGTAACCTGGGCTGAAGTGAAGATTTTTTTAGAAATACATATGGATAGGTAAGAGCAACTAAAGAACTTTCATAAAATATGAGAAAGAAAACACTTGCATAGTCATTTCACTACTTGAAAATTAGAGAATGCTTTTTGTATACAATTTAATAAGTTTAAGATAATCTACATATACAATATATGTTGACAAACAACTGAGGATGAATACTGAGGATTAGCCAAGTAGTTTTAATTCTTTTGGCTATGGTGAGTTTGTCAGGAACAGTGATTGTTCCATTTTTTCGCTCCATATTTTTAGCTCATCCATTGTAGCTCATTGAAGAAGGCATTGTCGTAACCAATAGTTAGAGAAGAAGTTTTCATAGGAGCGCACATTAGAAAGCATCAATATGACCAGTGGTTAGATAAATGATCCAGCTTGTGAGCCGGCAAGTGAAGCCTCATCAATCTTGAACTCGACTTGTTAGGAAAGTTGCATGCATTTGAAATCTACTATTGTATTTCCAATCTAACGAAGTTTTTGGAGGTGAAAAGGCATCTTATAACAATCAATTGTGTGGGAATATCATAAAAAATCTTAGCATCCTCATCCATGAGAGGCTCACCATTAAAAACACCCTTAAATTCAACTTCTTGGAATCAAGATTTCCAAATTCCATCAAAAGATTAATCTAAAGGTTTTGTTTGATGTAAGACATGTTGGGAGACACTTATAACAAATGATCATTGCCCTTTTCTCAGGACTAGTTAACACACTCTCTCATTGAATAGTTTATTGAAAAGAATTTTAACCATTCATATTTCAATTGTGAATGGAGCATATACGTGAAATTGTGAAAAGGTTGGAGTAGCTCCATTAGAAGATAAGATTAGAGAGAGTCGCATTAGATGGTTTGGTCACATAAAACGGCGGTCTTGCGATGACCCGGTTAGGAGAGTAGAGGTATTAGATTTGACTTATGTTAAGAAAGGTAGGGGTAGACCTAAAAAGACTTGGTTAGAAAATATTAGGAATGACCTTTCGTTATTAGATTTAAACGAGAATTTGACTTTTAATAGGACACAATGGAGAAAAAGGATTCATGTAGCCGACCCCACGTAGTGGGATAAAGGCTTGATGTTGTTGTTGTATATTTCAATTGTCTTCAGTCTACTGAGAAGAATAGACAAACTAAATTCTTGGCTCGTATTTTATTAGCGTTCAGGTGTGATTTCCAGTTATTATATGACAATGCTAGACTAGAATAATGCTTAAGCCCTTACACCGATGACCAACCAATCTTTGTTATATATATATAAAACTAATACTAAACATGCGTCATCACTTAAAACCTTCCTTTCTCACTACATAAGCCTTTATTCATGGAGGAAATACATCATGTTATCTAGTACTTTTCTTTCTCTATTTAGCTTCTAAGTTGCACTCTTTTCTAAATAAATCATGTAATATTTCTCATCAATATATTTTACCTGCTCTTTCTTTGGGTTTCTAATAATTTTGCCCAAATTAAATAAATGTTCTGAGATTTCTAAGCCCAAGAACATTTCAATTTTAATGTCGCAATAACATAATGAATTACTCATAAAGGTAGTAAGGTGCAAATATGGATATGAAGTTCAACAAATACTAAAAATGTGAAAATAATGTAATTCAATAACTGGCACTGCAACTAACAAAATGAAAGAAGCTATTCACAATAATACTTATCTATGTTTGCATTTAATTGAAACATTCTCAAATCCCAATTAAGCACTATTTCAGACAAGCCAATAGAACTATCGATGAATGAAATCTACAAATTCTAGAAGAATTCGTTAAAGAAATCCTCCAATATGAGGGAAGTTGTCCACATTGGAGAGGATACCAAAATCTAAATTATTAGCAATTATGAGAAGGAACAACATCACCAGCAAGCTAAACAACAAAGAAAACTCACTAGATGAAAAGTGAAATGATTGAATGAAAATTCAATTTCTTTCTTACTACCTATTTGAATTGTTTGCTGAAAGCATGCTTTCTGGTGAACAAACAATCACACCAGAAGCTACTCAGAGCAAAAAATGAAGCTCCCACCAAAGCAAAAGATGAGATATAGTAGTCCAATTCTAACTGTTAAAAAGGGTGGTATTCTCAAAATTATGAGTAGCAAGGATCTTCACATTCAAAAATAGCAAGAAACCTAGCTGTAGAGTTAAAAATAGGGAGCAATATATGAATTTAAACTTTATTTGGTGGCTACAAAGCAGCAACTCCCTTGTTAATGAATGCTTTTTGAAGGCTGAAACTAGATCAAGTAAGAGAACTTGATATGTTGTTATTGTTGAAATTCTTGTAAAGAAACGAGAATGTTATTTATCTAAGATAGAGATTATGAAACCTATTAAAAAAAATAAAACTGAACTCTTAAACAATGAGACATTTTTTGTGTAACCGTTGAAATTTGATTAGCAAATTTAAAGTTAAGCGAGCTAGTATGAGAGTATTTTTGGGATGGGTGACCTCATGAAAAGTTACATCAATTGGACAAAATTGTGAGATCATTAGGCTGAAGTAAATAATCTTCCGATAATTAAGAGTTTGGGTCATTACAGAGGTTCATTTTATTATGTAAGAGTCATTTTTCTTATGCATAAATATAAAAAAATCGATCAACATTCAAAAAAACTTCGGTGAATCAAAACCCATAATCAACTAAAATAAAAGAATTTGACCATTTTGGATCAGGTTATCATTAACTGATAACTTGTCACAACTTAAAAGTCTTATTTTGAACCAAGGTTTGATCAATTTTAACATTTAAGTGAAGGCATCCAAAGGTGCAAGTATGCTCATTTGGTGAAGGCATCCACAAGCACCAGTTGAAAGAGGGTTGTAATGGGAACTAACTAGGGCAGGCTTCAACGACACTAGAAATGTGTTAGGAAAAGAGGAGTCATGGATGAAGCTTGTTGGAAAAGGCATTGAGAGGCACCACTTGCCAAGGTGAAGATAAGTTCACAATCGAAACTCATCAAGGGCTTTAATAGGAGTGACGATGTGTGAAAAAAAATATTATTTCACAATGGAAGCTTGTTGAGGGCATTGATAGGTGCGACGACATGTGAAGGAGAAGTGGATTTAATGATAGGAGTTCACCAAGGGCATCAACAAGAGTTATGACATGCAAAGCAAAATATGCTTTCACTACAAGAGCTCGTTGAAGGCATTGATAGGAGAGACACCATGTGAAAGAGAAGGTTGTTCGAATTGGCTTCGAACAAAGGTTCGAATTTGAACTAGTTTCAGTTGCAACATACTTTAATAAGCGTTTCTTGTATAAAAATAGGGTAATTCCATTCAAAATGAACTTTTGTGCATATTTCTTTTATAAAATACAAATGTCCCTTTATTTATTTCTTAAATATGAGCATACATTTCTTGATTCTAGAAAATGGAATTTATATATGTAGGACTTAAAATATTATGATTTGCATATTTAACACCTAAAATTCACTATTTATGTTATTTAATATTCTGCTAACAAATCTTGTTGGACCCTCACCTAACACGAGGATGAAAGAGGTAGATTATT